AAAATTATAAACTGTATTCGTTTTTTTCTGTATGCAGCTGAATTGCCTTCGACTAATAAATTTTTTAATGTCATTAAACACATTGGTGGTAAAGTAAAAAAAAAAAAACAGCAAACTAAAATATTTTAACTTTTTGTAAGCAGCTATAATCAGAGCTGCATAAACAAAAAATCTTCTGTTCAATAGGCTTGGTGTTGATAAAATGTCCAAAGTGAGGTTATGGAAGGCATCTCATAAAATAAAATGAGAACACTTTTTTAAACACTAGTTATGGTTCAGTTCTAGAGCCTAAGAGACATAGCAAGAAAGAGAAACATACCAAGGCATCAAGATATCTCGTTCTATAATGAAATAATGTTATCTAAACAGATGAGGCATTTCAATCGATTAACCCCGTGATTCGCATTGTATGATAAACATAGAACCCCGACACAAGAAAACAGCCTAAATGGAACATCTTCAGAAGCTCAAGCAAAAAACATGAGAATTATGTATTTTTTAATCCAGCTTAGAGTTAACATTTCTTTGTTTAAATAAGTATAGCAGCAGGAATTGGGCAGAGTATAATTATATGGCAACTTTAAATAAAAATTACTAGAGGTTCAGATCACATGCAGGGAAAAGGTTGCCTGACACTTTAGAAGGGAACGAGATTTGTGTATAACAATCCTGTTGTGAGAACTGCTTCACGATTTGATGATATATTATACCGCAATTTGAAAAAATTACATTAGCGCTGTTATTTTTGAAAAATAATATCGAAATGAAAATTGGATATATACTTGGCTTTAATTTTCTTTCTTTGGGCTACATTCCAACTTTTTGCTGGCAATTAAGATTTGATTAAATCAAAAATGTTTAGACGTGTTCTTCAATTTAGTTCTTTTCGGTACCATTTTTTCGTCTCTTATAAAAAATTTGTATATTCGTTGACAACAGAGGTTTTGATAAAAATACACGCTTGCTATGGCTTAAAACGAAACAGTAATTTTACTTATACTGTTGTCATTTGAAGAATATTTTGTGGCTGCGGAATAAAAATCTTGTAATTTTTTTTTTTTTTGTTAAAGTGGATGTTTGCAGCTCTTTTCATTTGGCAAGCTTTGAAAACGTCGTTAACTGTTAAAAAAAGTACAACGGGGTTTCTCTCGAATCTTTGAATTTAGATTCTTGGGACAGCTTTACTATACATTCGTTAAGGATTAACCCATTTGTTTTTTTAGAACAAGCATTGGATTTGATGTATGATGCTTTTTTTTTTTTCAAGTAAGGAATGAAGACTTTGGATACAGTAGTTGTTTCAGCGGTGATTCTGGGACTTTTTGAAGTTTATCCTATTTTTCAGTTGTTCAGCAGCAATATGGAGAAACGGTAGTTTTCCTACTGAATTGGCGTCCGTTTCGAGTTCTGTTCATTGAATAACTGGAGAACTTTACTAGTCATATTGACGTTTATTTCATGGTTGTCATACCCTGGTAAGGAAATACTGCTTTGTTAACTTAAAAAAGTACAGTGCAAAGTTGATTAAAACTTTATCAGTGTTTATTTTAGAGGAAATTTGATTTGAGGGGTTCAAGGGGACTTTGCGGCTATTATATGAATCACTTAATAGGAAAAGGCATTTTGCCTGATGTATTAAAGAGAATTACAAACTGAACAGAGGATGGATTTTCAGAAAAAAGTTTTCTTATCTGAAAAAAATCGTATTTGTTCTAGTAGATTTTATTTTTTTTTTATTTATTATTATTATTATTATTTTTTTTTTTTTGGCACGTTGTATTTGTTTTACTATCGTGCTAAATTGTAACGAAACTTGTTGAGTTTTGAACAGTGGGCTGTGATTCTCTTTCAAATAAATTATTTTTAAACTATTAGGACTTGTGAAAGATTAGAATTATTACATAATTTTTTCTTCAGAGTTCTTCAGCACTTTTGCCGATGTCATCTTATGTTGACGACGATTTGAAATCTTCCTCTGCAAACCAATTAAGTTTGTACTTTATCTCATCCATTGTGTTTTTCGTTGGTAAAATTAAATTTAGCGCAAAGTATTAAACGGAACTCAATTTTTAAAACAGCTATAGTTCATGATACATTAAAGCCTCTTATGGTTTATAGGTAAAAACGCACTTATACACGGTTTTGCTATTGTGGATTTATTTATTTTTTGGTTTGCTGATGTATATTACAATCTCATTTATTCTCTCAAAAATTGAATGTTAGATAATTAATTAAAATCAGCTAGTCAAATTGTCTTATTTTCATTCGAATTTTTTACGTACCATTCAGATGCTGTTTTATCAACATTACTAAATTTCAATTAGGAGAGAAGAAAAAGCTAATTCTAAGCTATCACAACTTGTCTGTTACAGTAGTTTTCCACAACTTTTTTAGTTTTTAGGGCAGGAAAAACAGTCTATTACATCTCAGTTGCTTCATGTGCAGCAGCAGATCAGTGATTTAGCGTTTTGCAATTATCGTACTTATGCGGATGCTGGGAGTACTACCGAGCATTGCAGGAAAAAGGTTAATTTTGACGAGTGAATTTTTGGTTATTTCTGGTTATTATTTTTTAATTTTTGGTTACTTTTTACTTCTGATACGTTTGTAATCAAGCATTTCGTGCGTAAGTTAGCGTGGGTAATCGTTTACAGTTTACTGAAGCGAGTGAATTAGTCGACTCAATAGATTCTGAAATTAACGGATTACAAGAGTGTCTGGGTAGCTTCCGTGGAAAAAACGCGAAAATCAACCAAGAAATTGCTGCCTTGGAGTCGGCCGAATCAAAAGAGTCGCCATTATGGGACATCTTAAGTTTGCCATCGGTACTTTTCTTTTTTGGCACTTGGATTTCAAGTATATTAGAGTTATTTGCGGTATTTTGGTTTTAATTTTTTTTTCTGAAAGTAATAGAAAGATTTAATCTTAGTAAGCATTTTGACAAAGAAATTTTACTTTTATCGCTGGTTTAGTAAGTTTTCGGTTACTCTGTTTCATTTTTTTTGGAACATTTTTTGAACGACTGAGGGAACTGTATTTAATCGACTTTTCTGATCAGAAGCTTAAGTTGGCTTTCAGCGTATGGATGTTTGTATACGTGCTGGATATTATGAGGATGCGTATTTGCTGACTAATTATGGTATGCAGTTGCAACAACATGGGCTTACTAATAACCCCTTGATCAAGGTTCAAAAAATTGATCTTGTTGTATCAACAAAGGAAATAATTTAGGAGAAATTTGTGAACGCATATTCGCTTTATACAAGAAAATCGAATTTTTCTTTTTTCGTTTTGCAGATCACTCCGGGATATGTTTTTCAGGTCGTCTCTGACAAGTTAGTTGAGGCTCGCCATCACCTTTTAAATGAGCTATTTAATCGTTTTGCCGGTCCGATAGATCTTGCGAGCAGTATACAAGTAGTAAATAATATCAGAAAAATCCCTTGCCTTTCCCCAACACAGTTACGGGTTTCAGTACTTCACTACCGTGATTTATTTCTCGAAAAACAAGTTATGAATATTCGTGTGAGTCGAACCAGAAACTAGTTGCTTTTATTTAATTTTATTTTGCCTTAAATACATCTTACCTTGACTTTTAAGGCATTTTAGAGTCTATGGGAAACGAATGATAGTGCTTTTCTAATGCTCAGAATTTAAATTTACTTTTGGCAGCTTTCTGGACTGTGATCATTGTTTATTTTTTTTCTTGCAATAAATAACTGAGTTATGTTTTTTGCCTTGTGGTACAACTATGCGGCTAAATATTGCACACTTATTTAAACGTCTTTTCCTTTTCTTGTCATTCGTTTAATTAAAAAAAAAACAAATTTTTTCAGTCTCAGCCTGATTTTATTCTTCGTATGGTTGAGATATATCGGGATTGTATGTACGATACAATGGTGATGCATTTGGCTGTCTTTCCAGAAAACGAATCTTTGAAACGTGATGTAAGTCATGATCACTTACAGCTATCTAAGTTTTTGCTACACAATCAGCACCGTCCCTCTCTTAATATATTTATCAGTAAAGAGGCACCTGAATGTTATCATTGTAATTCTCTTAGTTGCGATGTTTTTCTATTTAGTAATTTTAAGTTATCATTCTAAAATAAATTATACATGTAGTCATTTTAATAGTCTGAACTTTTTCCGTAAAAGTTGATGTAGTTGGTTTTTTAGCCAAACGTTGACCCTAGGTGGGATGTGTGGCAACCTGCGGGCCCATCAGCAGTTCTTTCAGAATGGACTTTGCACAATCTTGAAACAATGTTTGGTTACATAAGGCAAGTTACTTTCTGTTTTTCCCTATGCTATTTATTCATGATGAATCTATTGATATTTTAAATGAATGTCCTATTGAAAAATAAAAATTACTACGTAATTTCTGTTATATGATTGAAGTCTTTCAGAAATTGTGATGACAATTCTGTTGATATAGGAGCTTTATCTTCAAAGCTGATGAGCTTTGCTGCATCTTTTGGACGGATGGGAGTTGATTTTCGACCAATGGTTGCTAACATTATTCGTGAGCACGTTTCAAAAAGGTTCTCGAATACTGTGATGGCTGCAACGACAAAGTAGATTTCATTTAACGATGATTGTTGATTTTTATAAATGCTTCACTGACTCACCGTGTAAGAAAGCCTGTATTTTTCTAGCCTATTGATTAAAGCTGTATTCAAGGTTTACCGAGTGTGAAACCATAGCAATAGATGGGGATCTTCCTAGTGAACTTACTGCATTATGTCCTGTTTCCAAAGCGCATCCAGCTCCTCCTGTTGCTCTTACTTTTTGGGATGACTTATGTGTCTATGGAAATGCTCTTATTGAAGCAATGAACCAATTAAGGAACGGTCTCTCGCCCATAATGGTTAGTTAAAACTGGATTTTTTTTTAGCTTCATTATACCACATTGTTGCCGAGAAACTTTAGCCTGTAGTCTGTTTTTTGCTAAGTTCAGATATCATTGTTTTAACGGTATGTCAGAGTGCTACGCAAAGTTTTTTGTTATTTTTATTTAATTCTGTTTGTCCATGATTAATGGTTCTTGCAATGTTCCGTCTTTATTTTATGCTATGATTTTAGGTTGGTGACGTTTTAAATGCACTTAAAAAGTCTTTGAAACTGGTATTCAAATGGCTAAACGGATTCGCAGCAAATTCTGAGCATCAGGTAGGCACTTTGCCATAAGCGTTTATTGATACAAAAAAGGTTTTTATGGTAAAGGCTGAAGTTCAAAACTTTTTATAAGTGCGAAAATTCAGGAAGCTTTGACTAAAGCAGTGAAACTGATAGCGTTTTGTTTATTGCCATATTTTAACTATTGCCTGCTTATTTTGTTCCCGTATGAAAAGTGTTCTCGACAGTTTTACAATACTGCCATCAGCTTTGAAGATTATGTAAGTACCCGAGTTGAAGGTCTTATGTTTTTCCATTTTTGTTGTAAACATTGGTTTTGATATCTCATTTGGTTTTTCATATGTACAGGCAAAACGTTGTTCCTTACAAGTAAGGGAACTATATGAAGACTGCACCAACGTCAGTATTTTCAAAGAAATTATTGGAGAGGTAGATGTCATCCATGGCAGAGATTCTGCTTTACAAATGGATTTGCAAGGATCTCCAGTCAGCCTTGAAAAATCTTTAGACTTCAAGGCGTTAGAGGAGCATGAAAATAAAAATTCAGTCGTAGACAAGCAAGCGGATCAATTGCAACAAGAGGCCTGAATTTCTTGCATGCTTTTGACTCATCTGACTATTTAATTTGTTCCCCTGTTAAATGTTCTATTACCATTTACAGAATTGTTAATATTTCTTATTTTTTATACATTATTTTGCCAGAAGTATGATTAGAGTTGTGAAGAGATCCAGCACCTGTTTACGATTTGCTTCTTATGGCAAAGGAGAATTGATATAATTTGTTATTAGCATTTTTAAGTTAAGGAACAATACTACCCCGTCTCTTAAGAATTTTCCATGTGGGGTTTTTTTGACCATCATAATTGTAACCGATATCGTTATTTTTTCAGGTAGCAAATGTAGAGTTGGGCGGCATAATCGGGGATGAAACACACTCTTTTGAACCCAAGGATCAACATAACAATGGTAGAGAGGTTGATCAGCGTGCGACAGAACAGGATTTTTTTTCAGAAATTCCCTTAGCTTGAAAGCTTAATGTAATTAAGTAAAATGAAAGGTTACCTGTTTAATTTTATATATGGATCATTCATCGTAATATAAGTTAACAGTCGTCGATACACAAACTGGATCTGCGAGTACATCGTTATTCAGAAGTCTTTTCAGAGGACCCCGTATAAGGTCCCCCTCAAACTATTTGTTACAGAAAAAAAAGCAGTCTGGGGGTTTGCAGCCTGTCAACTAATTGTAATTATTCTTTTGAAATTATAGTTGGAGTTTTGTAAGCTAGGTCTTGGTCACATAGCGTTTGTGCAGCTTTGTAGACTCACACAGGTCTCGGTTTTGTGGAACGATGTCCAGAAATATTTTGTAAGACCGCAAATTAAAAAAAAACGTATGAGCAAACTAAGGGCAACGTCCAAAAACTTCGGTTCTCGAACCATTGTTCGTCGAGTTGTAAGCCTTAGACTGCGCGACTACCTCTCTTCTAGGATGTTAGCCATTCACTCTCCAATATCTTGGAACAATTTCGGCAAGAAAAAACTTCTTGAAAATCTGTGAATGTTTTGTCAAGTGGTTTTCTTTATGCCACTTGGGTGTAGAAAGATTCAAATAATCTTTCCTTGAAGCCTATGCTTTCGAACCTGACAGTTCTCAGTTATTTTCACTGATTTAAATGTTTCAACCTGCTTTAAAACTTTATTTAGTTTAGAGAAGAGCTTTCGCACACAGAACTTCAGGTAACTTTGTTACGTAAAGGATGAGCTATTTTTAGATGGACATCTGTTGCTGGAACGTCTCATTTGACGAGGAACCTCCACCAAGAAATCTTACTCTTTCTAATGCTGAACAAGTGCGGACATTAGAGGATATTGTACAAGAAACATTTGTCCTCAAAAGTGCTGCGAGATGAAACCATTTTGAAAACAATCACCTACGTCGGTCTCACCGGGTAAAAGTTAATTTATTTGGAACTACTTCTAACAGGCTAAGATACTCCAACTAGCTGAGGAGCTTCCTTCTTATAAGTTTTTTGGTTTCCTAAAAAGTACTAAAATATACGGGGAAGCTTTTGCTTGTGCGATAAGCGGTTCAAACCACACCACTCAGAAAATCTACTATACGCACACCCCTCAAAAACAAACGCGCTGCAGTAGTCCAGATTCAGAAAAAGATTGCAGGATACAGGGGAAACAATGAAATGAAAAGAAAAACAAAAGGTTAAACTCCAAGGAAAAAAGCCGAGTAATCGGGCGAGAAGCTCACCAACCATAAACAACCTGCACCCCTGAAAAAAAATCCACCTCTCATCCTCTTCCCTCGCACACAAACATTGTACCATGCAGACCCCTACGTACCGATCAGACCACAAACATAGGAGCTCGCCTTTACCCTCATACGTGCCGTACCTGTAAGCCCAGATAATTCGCAGGCAACACCAACTGCCACCCTCAACGGCCCAGTGCATTCGAATCGAGCACTACGCTATGAAACTCCCAAGTCGAAGCGCTGCTACAGAAAATGAAGACCTTTCTTTCCGTTTCTTGAAACTGTATATGACGCCGGCCATTTTACATTTACCCGCACACAATAAAAAAACAAACCAAGGATGAATGTTCACAGTCAGTCCAATTTCAAAACAAAGATACAAAAATTTAAAGCTGAATAAGATATAGTGAAGTCATACTCCATTTGACCTGTCAAAAATACGACCTAAAGGCTTATATTCCACATCGAGGCAAAAGTTTTAAAACGCAATGTAGTCAGAAGTACTATCGCCTCATCATGGTTCCTAACAAAATCAAATTTATATACAATAAACGAAAAAAACTCACCGACAAGATCCTTATAAAAATTGATCTTTTTTAAATACAAATAATATCATCAGAGACTCAAATTCAAACAAAGTGAGGACGCACAATACAAACTGTTCTTAAGCAGCTTTAAAAGTCAGTGCTTTTAAGATGTTAAAGAAAATCAGCATGGGCCTTGAAAAATAAATAGTGAAAAACAATGATCAGAAGAGCCATAAACAGATGACTCAGCAACTTTGTTGCTCAGTTTGAAGGCTGTTCACCGGATGCACCAATCCGCGCAGTGCCATTCATTGTAACGTTCTGGACTCCCACACGATCTCCTTCCTTAAAACAAGAACATTGAAAAGTGTCATTCCTTGAAACCTTTTAAGCATCCTTCCTCGAAAAAAATATCAAAAGAATTATTTCACTACAAAAACACAATACTTTCGTTGTCCCCAACAAGCTGCCTATAGTTGACTACATTATTTATATTCTTCCTCGCTAATCAGTACGAAAATGCCGACTCTACACTCAGAGCAGATAACAGTTCCAGGTTGTTTTCAAAAAAATTCCAAAGATTACGCAAACGTTGTAAAGAAGCAAAAACAAACATGTTCACGATTTCTAGCAAAATTCCTTCTAATCTCGTCATCTCTCCTCCTTCGTTCCTCATTCAGAAACCGTTGGCACTTTAAAATCAGTTCTTTAGCATCACGATCTGTAAAAAGGTCGCTTTATAAAACTAAATATTCAGTGAAGACAAAAATTGGATGCAAATCTTACGGCTGCACTTCTTCAAAATAGCGATTGCCTGCTCATACTGATTTGCTTTTGCTAAAGCACTTCCCTTGCGAAAAAGGGCCTTCTCGTTGCTGCTATCTTGCATTAGAACCTGAATACCTATAGAGTAAGCAAGACAAGAAAAAAAAGAAATACATGCAAAGAAAAAGCGAAAGTCAAAATTTAAAAAAAAAATAAAATAGAATAAGCATAAAAGCAGATAAGCACCGTAAAAAAATAGTTCCACTGTAACTTTTGCAAACCTAAAAGTTTTTCGGGACAAGAACTAACTTGAAAAAGGCAGTTTATTCACGCTAAAAAATAATTCATAAGAAGACCTTGTCACAGTACTCCGCAGCTCTTAAATAATCTTCTTCTCTCCGAGCGGGTCCATTAAGAATGCAGGCCGCAAGATTATTATAGCATTTCATAACAAGGTCAGCAGCTTCCTGCTTAATACTATCACCTCGTATGGTTGAATCCAACCGTTTACGCTGAAATTTAGTATTTCCATTAGTCTAAAAATCGCAGCCTGAGAAATATTTCTCCGAAAAATTTTCCACCCTAAAGGACGAAACGTTTGAACTGATTCTTGTTTGTGGATTATTACCTCAGAGTTTAGTGCTTATCCTACCGATTTTCCGTATCCCACTAGCAAGACTACGAAAAAAAAAAAACAGCAAGTAGTCATTGGCCACTGTATTCCACCCCAAATTAGTTTCACTATCAAGAAGGGTGTAATCTACCTATGGATTTATTCCTAGTCTCATATGAATGCGCTCTTTTCGTACTTCCACTTCTCCTGCTAAACTTCCATTAACACTTTCATCTTATTTTCTAAATAAGAAATCTTAAAAAATTTCATTTTATTTCTAAGTTCAACTTTAAAATGTTCAATTGACAGTACGCTAGGATCCTTTTAAAAAATCCTACAGTAAATTTCTGGCTCTCTAATTAAAATATTTTCTCAAGATATTTTCAAAGTGCCACTGAAAATGCATATGGTCTTATTTCTGAAAAAGCGCCGGGTAAGATGCCTAACACTGTTGAAAGCTGGCAGGAACACTACAACAAGTTATGTGATAAGTAACAGTTTTAAAAACAAACTACTGAAATATCATCAGGATAAAAAACAAAATGATTTTGAAAAGAAACAATATCTCAACTGCAACCAATCACATTTAAAAAAACCCTTCGCATGAAGAAACTTTCACACCAATGTCTCACTGTGTCATAAAAGTCTGGCGTAAAAAACCCAGTAAGTTAAGAACAACAAAAAATTACTAACGACGGCAGGTAAATCACAACGATAAGTGACCGCAAAACATCTCAAAAACCTATTTTTTAAGAACGGTAATAATCATCACAGTGAAAGTCTTCACGACTTGTGAACAACAATGAATTTTATTGCTGGAACCAGATGGCTCACTAACCTGGTCACACTTTGTCTCTGGGTCCCTTGAAGCATCCACTACTTCGCTAAGTTCTGCCTCCTTTAACTTCTCCTTGGCACGTTCTTCTCGTGCAATACCTAAAAATTGAAAAACTATTACTACAAAAGCTTCACGTAAAACATGTAAAAATTCGATGAGATGGCAAGTTCAAAAATCAAAAATCAATGGTAAGACCTCATAGCAAGGTAGAAATTTGACGCCTTACAAACAATTTACGCCTTTTGCTTAGAAAAATATTACAAAAAAAGAAAAAACTCAATTCACTCAAGAACAGCGAATGGGAGGAAAACATCCCAAAATAAACCTTGCAAATTCCACTGGGATAACTGCTGCACTGACCGGGCAAATAGCAAACAGCGATGGTATAAATATATTGCTCCACTGAAAAAAGAACAAACTTCAAAATCAAGAAATTTACATTTCCTATTGAAGTAAAAAAAAACTAACGCATAGTCCTTTGCATTGTACTTCATATTCGCTTCATTTTTCAGCTGATACGCTTTCTCAAGTTTGCTCTCTTCATCCTTGACTACGTCGTCGTTGTCAATTTTCTGATCACAGCTGATGGCGGCAGCATCTTCTGTTTCATTGCTCAAGGTCTTCATAACTGCTGAAAGCTGAAAAATATAATTATAACATCGAATTTTACACGAGTAACCTAATTACCGTGCAAAGATCTGACTCAACAAAACTCGTACTCAGCTACGCATTTTTAGCAAAGAAACAATCCCCAGTTAATGCTACTGAAACAAAGCACCTAAAAACCCATGAATTGACCTAACTTGAAAAAAATTTAAGGACCTTCAGGCGACTCCTACTCTGTTACTTCTACACTTGTCGCACACCACTTCATCAACTCCTTATTATTTCCACCCTGGTGCCTTCGGTTCGCGCCAAGTTATGAAACTTTCATTATTGGCAAAGTCCCCGCCAAATCCCTAAAACAATTCGTCCGCCATAAAAAGCTTCTGAATGATACAGCCATATAGCCACCACAAAAGACACGCATGTCAGAAGCCCAAAAATGCTCGAAAGGACCGACAAAATTCCTAACCAACCACTAGTGGCTCCTTGTACGGTACAACTGTATAAAGCCAAGTTTATGAACTCCACAGTGTATTCTTTCCTCAAATTTCGCAACATACAATTTTTATTATTTTAGTGTATTCGGTGGTAATGAATGTTTTCTGTTTTGACAAACCAGTTCTGTAGATCTGGATGCACCCTACTCCAAATGAGTGAACCAAGTTTCCCACGGACTTCAGTAGGCAGTAAATATTTTTTATGGGTACTTGCGTAATTTTATGGATTGTAGATGCCCGCAGCACCTCTGTCTATGGCGGACTGAACCCCGTTCTTTTTTCTTTAAATTTTTTACTGTTCATTTTAAGAAACCGATGATTTATGGGAAGCAGTATAAGGAACTCTTACTTTTGGTTTTCCTAATATTTTCTGCACACTCAATCAAAAGTAACTTCGTTTTCATAGACACGTTCGCATGAAATATGGAATTTCACAGCTCAGGTTTGAGTCACGAAATACTGTGCATTACCGACTTGTTAAATCAGGGCTACCTGTTGGGACATTTGTTTATTAGCACCATTTATTTAGTCAGGCACCGTCGTGGGGG